ATTTCGAGCACATTTTTATCATTGCCTCGGTTTGCGTGCCCGCAGTGCACGCATTTCGAGACACATCATCATCGCCTCGGTTTGCGTGCCGCGTGCACCTATTTCGAGACACATTTCATCGCCTCGGTTTGCGTGCCCGCGTGCACGTATTTCGAGACACATATCATTGCTCGGTTTGCGTGCCCGCGTGCACGCATTTCGAGACACATATCATTGCCTCGGTTTGCGTGCCCGCGCGCAGTATTTTGAGACACATTTCATCGCCTCGGTTTGCGTGCCCGGCGTGCACGTATTTTGAGACACATATCATCGCCTCGGTTTGCGTGCGCCGCATGCACGAGTATTTCGAGACACATAACATCACCTCGGTTCGCGGCCTGGATGAGTGCACGCATTTCGAGACATCTCATTTTCATAGCATTGTATATATTATGGATTGTATCTTAGTTGCATTTCATGCATGTCATGCATATTGCATCGTGTTCGGAATAGGAGTTAGCCCGGGCACGGGAAACGAGGTACATTTCGTACTCCGAGTGACGGAATGTGTCTCATTCCCTAGTTACCGACATCCGGATTATCCATGATGGAGTTAGGTTTTAGCTGTAGTCTCATGTGCATTCATCCTATATTGAGTTGTGCATTCGACTCTCGGCATCATGCCTCGGTATGCGTGATTGGTGGCACGAGGATCGAGACATGCATACATCTGTGCAGATACATGCTTGCCCCTTTCCTGCTCTCTTGTTGCAGCAAATCAGGAATCCAGCAACTTTTTGGGACTTGGCACGCATTTCAAGAACAAGTGTAAACAGAGGCTAATTGGGGCATTCCGGTGGATTTCCGCGCAAGACAACCCGGGCATGCATCATCCATCAGAAGCAAGGCGGTCCTGGCTTGCACGCCAGTTTTATTTGCTTTTATAGTTAATTTGTTAATTAATTAGAATTTGGTAATATTTCGGACCTGTAATATTCTTTTATTTGGGACTGTAATTTGGGACTGTATATTTATCGAACCCTCTGCGTGAGGGCACAACTGTAATAAGTGTGCGTGAGTGTGATGTATGTCTTCCAACCCACGTCTTTCTCCTTTTATTATTCCGCTTATGATGGTTAGATTAGGGCATATTTAAATTAGCATACAGTATGAAGCATGTTGCATCATCATCTGTTTTGCATGCACCGGGCTCGGCGCACATACTAACTGCATCGTACTTTCAATTCAATTGAATACATGATAGTTGTAGCATTCAGTATACATTCTTAGAATAGCGAGCCTTGCTATAGTCGCATTTTATGCATGTGTTGCATTAGCATTCGTGTATACTTAGGATTCATGCATGATTTCTAATGTAGTTCTTTTTTTTGGTTGGAAATACCGGTAAGGTTTTATGCTTTAGCATCCTTGCATCGTGTGAGTGACTGCCATGAATAGCATCTTACCATGAGGCTATGTGCTTATCTGATAATAACTGCCTTGAATGCCTGTGGGTGAAGGTTGGGTTACTTGAATTGGAATAATCATCAACTATTTTATTTTAAGCCCACTAGAAGTGGCAAAACATCTTTTCTAAGCCCACCGAGGGTTGGTAAAACAAAATCTGCCATTTAAGCCTACCTTGCGGGTAGCAACCATTTTCAAATAAACAAACATGAGATGTTTTTGGTTCCAATTCAGGCGATCCAGTCTAACTTGTTATGCTGTTGCGCATCACATGTTAGTAAACCTAGGCTAAATAAAACCGGTAATAAGAAATCACAAATGTTTTCAAACAATTGATATCATGGTTAGTAGAGGCCGGTCTATGACGGGCGACGCGGGGTGCTCACGAAGTGACCTTCCCCATCGTACCAAGTTCCCGAACCGAAAGCAACTTTCGGTTGATGACGGACACGCGGCCTTTTGGCACCGAGTTCAGGGTTTCCTAAATTTCCAAATAAAATATTTAGGTGTGCGACCTGTATCTGGCTAAAGCAGTCCTGTTTGGCACTACTTTTTTCAAAAATCAGTTTCCCTAAAACGATTTGGCCGGATTTGGACTCTTTGGTTTAGACAGAGAACCGTGACAACGAAAGTCGAGGTCCGAGCGTAGCGAGGTCCCCCGCGGGCTTGTTACCAAGGGGCTGGCAAGTATTTGTTCAAAGAAAGAGCTTCTACCGGTTTGAAAGGTACACATCTCAAAACTTGTGTTCATTGTTTGGCCGCTCGGTGGGCTGTTAATCACCGAAAGTGGCGTTCGGCCACGAAGTGGGTTTCTCAGACCCCAGTGTCCCTCAAAAGGGAGAAAATAAGATGTATGCCAAAAATCAGAGCAAACGGAGATGGTTAGGCGGTCCCGAACCGAGGCACACGGCCTGACGGCTCCGAAAACCGGAAACCGGGCTCCGAAATGGGAAAAATGGCCTACGGCCACCAAATGTAGCCCACGGGCATTGAGAGATAGTCTACGGGACCTCTCCCTTCCCTCAGGAAAAGAAACAGAGAAAACCGAGTCTGGTTCGCAAACCGAGACAAGGCACAGAAGAGGGTTCGGAAATCCGGAGGCGGGGCTCGCAGCCAAGACTCTGAAACTTCTGAACGAGCACGTTATGCAATATCACCAAGTGCTTAACTGGTGACGTCTGAGTCTTAAGGTCGGTCAAAAATGGGGTGTCTACACCCCTTTTCACTCATGTAGCCAAGCCGCCTGTGTACAATTCAGTAGAAGTATCACCTTCAAGTGCATTGTCAACACCTTTACAAATTTTTCCTTGCATCAAATAAAGTGTATGAGTCTTCTTACACTTAGCCACCACCAAGGAACCCTTTGTGAGCTTCTATATTCCATTACCAAATTTGTTGTTGAAGCCTTCATCATCTAGCTTCCCAGTAGAGATCAAATTAAGGCGAATGTCGGGAACATGCCTCACATCTTTAAGCAACAACTTGCAGTCCAAATTTGTTTCTAAGCAAACATCACCCATGCCGATAATCTTGGACAAACCTTCATTACCCATTCGAACAGAACCATAATCTCCTTTGATATAAGTAGCGAAGAAATCAACTCGAGAAGTCACATGAAAAGAAGCACCGGAATCAATTACCTAATTGCTCTCTTGGCCCACAAAATTGATACAATCATCTTCACAAACGACTATGAGATCACCATTGGTAGTAACTGCTATTGTGTCTTCTTGGTTCTTGTCCACACTTTTGTCACGCCTTTTCTCCTTATTCTTGAGCTTTCAGCATTCCCGCTTCATGTGCCCTTTCTCATGGCAATAATGGCACTCAATGCTTTTCTTTGAAAAAGAACCATCTTTCGATTTGTCACGGCTTTGATCATGACCATGAGGAGTCTTACTCCTCCCCCTTGTTTTGCTTCGGCCTTTCACAACGAATGCTTCCAAATGAGAGAAACCCGCTGATTTTCTTCTAGTTTCTTCATTCAACAGGCTACTAGTGACTTAGCCCATTGTGACAACTCCATCGGGCGCCGAATTACTGACGGTCACAACCAAAGTCTCCCAACTTTCGAGCAAAGAACTAAGTAGCATCAAAGCGTACAACTCATCATCAAAAACAATTTTCATAGAAGCAAGTTGGTTAACAATACTCCTTATTTCATTCAGATGTTTCGGAATAGGGCTGTCATCTTTATATTTTAAATTAACCAATTTACGAAACAGAAAAGCTTTATTTGTGGCTAATTTTCTTTCATAAAGACTCTCTAATTTTTTTCATAAATCATGTGCTGAAGTTTCAGTAGCAACATGATGAAACACACTGTCAACAATCCATTGACGGATAATACCAACGGCTTTTCGATTAAGCCTATTCCATTCATCATCTTTCATACCTTCGGGTTTGCCACTATCACCCTCAATGGGTCCATACAAATCTTTACAAAATAATAGGTCCTCCATTTTAGTTTTCCAAGTTACCCAATTACTTCCATTGAAGCTAGACATACGATCCATATTTCCCTCCATTGATTTACACAAATAAATAAACTCAAATACACCGTAAGCTCTCATACCAGTTGTTAGAGAAAATATGTGATTCCCCACAAGTAAATCAATCAATGGGAATAAAAACTAACACGTAAAAATTTTTGTGTTGCTTTTGATTTAATTTTTTCGCATTAATTTTTATTTCCATTGATTGATTTACTTGTGGAGAATCACATATTTTCCCTAACAAAGATCTCAAAAAACACAACTCTTACAATCTCCACTCACATGTAATTAACATTATCTTTTTGTTTCTCTACAATTTCCTCATTTTTAAGGTCTTCTATTTGTTTTGACATGTTATTGTTTTGGGATATTGCTAACATAAAATTTTGGATAATTACAACTCGGTGGAATTTTGAAAAGAAAAAATTATAATTCAGAAAAAAATTATAATTATAATTATTAATATTTATAAAATTCTGATTTATAACTATTTTTTCAAAAATTCATTAATGTGATATTTTTCCTAAAATTTTCATAATAGTATAGTGCGGCACACATGGCGTACAGGTGCTGCGTGCCCATGTCGCGCATATGCCAAAGTATTTTTGCATTGTTGACTACCGCACATCTTACAATGCGTTAAATAGTTCCAAATTATTCGTTTTGTTTGGTTCTAATTTAAGCACTTTTTTTTTAATTTTTAGACACACCTAACATAAATATACTTAAAAAGTATAATATTTGTGAACAAAATCTTTAAAAAAATACAATAAATACCAAAAAATACACACACACAAAAAAATACGAAAATTTAATACATTTTTCCATATTTTATGTATTTTTTTATTTTTTTAAAATATTTTTTTCACAAATATTTTTACTATTTAAATATATGTAAATAAAGTACATTTAAAAATATTCACTAGAAAAAAAAAAAAAAAAACAAGAAACAAAAACTCAACTTTTAAAAAACTAATTCATAAAAGTGAAACCAAACCCACTAATTAATTTTTTCTTTATATAAAACTTTTCTTGTTTTTCTATAAAGCCCACCGTTCTCTAATCTTTTGCTGTTCCCTCCATGTTTGGGTGAAGAACTCTCTCTCTCTCTCTCTGTCACTGAGAGTTGGGCCGCCTAATCCCTCTCCAGCTTCGTCATCTCTTCTCGGTAATCTCACTCTTCTATTATCTTCGAAAATAAGTGTTTATTACACTTTTTATACTTAAATATTGTTGAATTATCTATTTAATTTTTAAACTATCGATTCAGTTTATTAAGTCTCTAACTTATATAAATCAAATTCTATTTAGTTTTTTAATCTATCGATTGAATCTATTAAGTTCTTAAACTATCGATTAAATCTATGTCTTTAAAATATTTAATTCCTAAAAAGATTACCAAAAAAAAAATCATAAATATTATAAATTATTAAAAGACCCTGTCAAGTCAAGATTTTGTTCCAAAAAAATATTAGATTTCTATTATTTTTAAAAAGTATTTTATTCCGTTGTGCATTTAAATTAGTATTAGAGTCTAAACAAAGGCAAGTAGAGAGTCATTGTAGAAGTTAAGTAAGAAAATATTATAAATAATTACTCTTACCATTATGAAGAAAATTCACCAGAAGAACCGACGTTGACTTTTCTAAAAACGAATAAAAATTTAAGATTTTTCTAAAATAAAACTTTCACTAAATAGGGCCTTTTATTGATTTATAATATTTATATGTTGGGAATGGCTTTCCTCCAGTCCGTGATCACGATCTGGAGGGCACTGTTGGGCCCATGAAGACTTACTACGAGTCATGTTTCGATAATTTGAATCGTCCAATGTGTAGAACTCATCGAGTACTGTATGCCTATAAAAAAATCACGTTGATCGGATATCGATAGCTATGTGATCAAATCAGATTTTTGTAAGCTGTATATTTTTCACTATCCATTATTTTTCATACAAAACTGATTTGATTACATAGCTATCGATATCCAATCAATATGATGTTTTATAGACATATAGTACTCAACGAATTCTACACATTCAACGGTTCGAATTATCGAAAAGGGACCCGTGGTGGGCCCTCACGAGCCCAACAGTACCCTCCAATTACGGACTGGAGGGAAGCCATTCTCTTATATGTTTATATAAGTTTGAATTAAATAATTTAATGACTCAATATATTCAATTGATAGTTTAAGAATTAAATAGATTTGATTTACATACTTTAGAAGTTTAGTAGGCTCAATCGATAGTTTAAGGATTAAATAAATATTTTGATAATATTTTGGGGCTCAAAAATGTAATAAACCCTAGAAAATAATTTTAAGTAGGTGCTTTTGATTGTACTTATTTACTAATAAGTTTTGAGTATTTTTTAAAAAAAAATTATTTGTCCCTTGTTTTAATAATTAATTTTTTTCGAAAAACTTTTTAGATGTGTTTTATATTAGTGAAATGATCATTTGATATTGATAATCATATCATACTGATAAATTTATTAAAGTAATGAATGAGTGGGTATTTTAGTTTTTATTTATGAATTTTGGTTTATTTTTAATTTAATTGTATTGAAATATGACCTAAGAAGTATAGGTAGTTGAATTGTATATATATATATATATTTTTTCTAAATTACAGTGATAAATTGAAGTAAAATTTTTTGGTAAATAAATTCGGTCACCTGCTCGTACCCGCCTCTTATCTCTATCGTATTCACATATATAACATTTGAATTAGTGTAAACTTTGTGATAATTTTTATTTTTTCAAAATACAAGTATGTGTTTAGGGTAAATTGCACTCTGTCCCCATTATGTTTGATTCTTTTATCACTTTGGTTTTTAATTTTTTTTTTATTTGGCCCTTCATGTTTCAAATTGTTTTTTTTTTTTAATTTGTTCTTAAAGCTAACTTTTCTTTAAAATTAGACCCAAAAAAATATCATGTTAACTATCATATGACATAAAAAATATATTATTATATTGAAATTTAGATTTATGTCAAAAGTATAAATTATTTATAATAAAATATTTTTATATCACATGACTTTCGATATGTAATTTTTTTTTATATCTGATTTTGGATATAAATTAACTTTTAGAGTAAATTGACAAAAACTTAAAACGTAAAAGGCTAAAATGAATATAAAAAAATTTTAAGAGTCAAACCAAAATGACACAAATCACAAACTGTAGAGATTGTTAGTGTAATTCGCTATTTATTTAATGTTAACCCCTCTAGATTTAACACTATAAGATATTATACCTCTGTATTGTTTTGTTAGAATTTCAAAAACCATTGGGAGAATGCTATACAAAGTGGTTGATTAGGATTTGAGAGTTTTCAAACATTTTCAAACAAGTATAAAAAAATAAAAAAATAAAAACAAAACAAAAAACATCTGTCCAAACTCTCTCTGCCCCATTTCTTAGGGTTTTTGAGTGCGGCGCTGCTAGGGGAGGGGGTTTCGGCCTCCAGCCACCTCTCTCCTCCCTTATTTTCCTTATGGTTTCTGCCAAATAAATCTTGGGAGCTTTTCTTCCCAATCTCACTCTCTTTATGAGGTATTTTTTTTACTAATGGTGGAAGTGTGTTGGGTTCTCCTCCTCCATCCCGCTATGTGGATCTGCGTTATCCCTCCTCCTTTGTTTCTCACCTAGTCGTCATCACCATCCCGCCGCTAGATCTGCTACAAATCTAGCCCCATCTCCATGGATCTGGCCGTGTCTGGTTTCAGGTCAAGCTTTCTGGTTTTTCTTTTGTTGTTTTTTATTTGGTTTGGTTATGGAGTCCATCAGTGCTTGAAGTAGCCTACCCACTCTGCGGTTGCAACCTATGATCTATCTTAGACATACTCTATAGCCGATTGATTGGCCTCTACCTTGTAATACAAGCACAAACACGAACACGAGTTGTGCGTCTGAGTATTTTCATAGATTTACTCCTATATGTTTTTTGATTTTATCTTTTCTTTGCTTAGTGTAAGTTTATATGTTAGATAGATTCCTCTTTGAATGTGTCGTTTGGCTTCATTAATGAAATTTTTTTCTGATAAAAAAAAAAAATTTACTCTACTTAAGCCAAAATGAACTCGTTCCCCATATAACTTTTTTCACTCTTAAAAAAATTAAAACGAAAAAAAAAAAAAACAAACTCACTCATAAGATATATATTCACATAGTTTGTTTATTTCTTTTTTAATCTATGTATACATTTAGAGGAGTTATTTTACTAATTATCTTTTTTTTCTTTCTTCTTTTGAGTAAGTTACACTAACCTTTCTTGAGATTTGTAAAATATATAGTTACCCCATAATTTTGACATAATTATGTTGACATCCCTTATAGTAATGTTAAATGGATTGAAACTAATCCAAATGATGCAAAAATACAAAAATAAACAAAGTAAAGTATACACTTTTGTGTAAAACAGATGACAGTATCATTTTTTTTCATCCATATAACAAACAAATTAGTGATGAAAAATGGATTAATTGTTATATGAATTAAAATTCAAGAAAATTTAATATAATTATGTCAAAAATATAAGATTTACTGTAATTTTTTTTAAATTTCAAGAGAAATGAATGTAATTTACTCGTAATATTTATTTAATGTTGACTTATCTGGATTTAACACTATAAGCTATTATATACCTCTTTATCGTTTTGTTAAAATTTGAGAAACCACTGTGAGAATGCTATACAAAGTGGCCGATTGGGATTTGGGATTTTTCTAGCATTTTAAAAAAAGTATAAAAAACTAATGTCCAAACTCTACTTATACCAAAATGAATTTGTTCTCACATTTTTTTAGTATGTAAATAATACGCAAAATATTATTAGCTCAAATATGTAAACTTCAAAAGTGTTTTGAAAAATGTGAAGAGTAGATTGAGTATATAAATATTTTAGTATTATGTGATTGTTATTGCCAATCCTCAGGACTATTATTAGAAATACTTATAAATATGTTTATTGTTCACAAATTCAGAGATTGTGTGAACAACTTCAAACTCTTACTCAAACTCTATCAAAACTAAAAATTTATATTAATTATAAGTTTTATTTTAAAATATAAAAATATTTATATTAAATAATATTCGGACAATATGGGCAGACTTGAAATTTGTTGTTTTATTTTTTAATAGACTTTAGAATAGAGAATAGACCTGATCTTGGATTGGCTAGGTTTGAAAAAAGACTTTAAATGTTATTATGTGGTAGGAGCCTGACTCGAACTCTCCCAAGCCTGGTCATGTCCGCCCAAGATAGATTACATGTAGATTTTTAATTAAATGAGAGAAACAAAATCATTTTCAACTTTTCTTTTTGTTAAGATTGTAATTAATGTAGTAAATCAACTGGACTAGTTCGGCAGGCCACTCTTGTATGCTCGTATCTAGGAGGTCAGAGGTCAATCTTTACCTCCCTATTATGAGAGCTTTGTTGTATTGAGATTATTTCCTTTCATAATGGGGTTCTTTATGTTGGTGGTTAGTATTGATTATTGATGATAGGGCTCTGTTTTTTGTATTGGTGGTTAGTATTGGTTATTGGGTTAGCATTAGTTATCCACCCAAAAAAAAAAATAGTATTAGTTGTTAGACTATGATGGTTCATTTGAGGTAATGTTCTTCTCATATTTGTAAATATCCTACCAATTGACAAAAATATAATAATAAATAAATAAATAATGAAGTAGTAAAATAAAAATCGACCTTGGTTCCCAACGAGCAATCTTAAGAAAACTTTTTAGCTAAATATTCATCTTGATTTGAACTCTTAAGTAATTTGATTATGTACAGATTACATTTGTAATTACTGTGATTTAGCCTGCGAGGTGATGGTTTCAAGATATGAATTTTGAACCAAATCTCTCCAAAAAAATTTTTTGTCAATCGATAAATACTGAAAAATCTAAAAATTCCCAAGATATTAATTTGTGATTATGTATCAATTTTAAACAGTAAATAACAATCTCAATCAAACAATCACAAACGAATCAACACTTCAACATGGAAAAACTATAATTGGAGCACCTCCAATTGTGATAAAAAAAATCACTGGTCAAAGCCATAAAACAATCATCTAAGAAGACAAAAAAGGAATTACACAAGTGTACTCTCAATTATCTAGCGAATTCATGCCCAAATTGAACTGACCCCAATCTG